ATCCAGGTTACACTGATGTGATAACTCATGACATTATCTTAAAAAAGCATGCTGCTCCAAAACGACTGAGCTATCGCATACCTGAGAGACTTCTCGAACCACTAAAAAAGGAAGTTGAGTTGATGCTTTCCCTTGGGATTATTGAGACATCACAGAGCGAGTGGTGCAATCCAATTGTTCTTGTCCCTAAAAAAAAGATGGAACAATAAGGTTTTGCATTGATTTTCGCCATTTAAATTCAGTCAAAATTTGATTCTTATCCAACACCACAAATCGATCTTATTGAGAAACTAGGCAAAGCAAAATATCTCACCACCATTGACCTTTCCAAAGGATATTGGCAAGTACCACTCTCTCCCAGGTCCAAAGAGCTGACGGCTTTCAGAACACCATGGGGCCTTTACCACTTCAGAGTGATGCCGTTCGGACTGCACGGGGCTCCTGCCACATTCCAACGCCTAATGGATAAGGTACTCAATGGCCTCTCACATTTAGCCTCTGCATATCTAGATGACATCATTGTTTACAGCAGCTGCTGGGATGAACACCTGCAACATCTGCAAGTGATCTTTGAGTGTCTCCAGAAAGCAGGATTAACAGTGAATTCAACAAAGTGTGCTATAGCAAAGAGGGAAACTTGAGTACCTTGGCTTTGTCATCGGAGGAGGATTGGTGAAGCCACAAATTGAAAAAAAATTGAAGCCATCCAGTCCTGCCCCCTTCCCCAGACAAGAAAACAACTTAAATCCTTCTTGGGTATGTCTGGTTGGTATCACAGATTTATCCCTAATTACTCTGCTAGAGCTTCTCTTCTTACAGACATGACCAGTCTTCAGGGCCCGAATATTCTACAGTGGTCTGAAGAAGCTAAGCAAGCATTCAGAGATATTCAACAGGCCTTAAGTAAAGATCCTGTGCTCCATTGCCCTGACTTCCAGCAGGAGTTTATTTTCCAAACCGATGCATCGGATAAAGGTCTTGGTGCTGTGCTGCTTCAGGGTTCTCCAAGTGATCGTCATCCAATCGCCTTCATCAGCCGTAAGCTTTTTCCTAGAGAAACCCGTTATTCCACAATAGAGAAGGAATGCCTGGCTATAAAGTGGGCTTTGGACTCACTCCGCTATTATCTCCTGGGGAGACAATTTGTATTGGAAACTGACCACAAAGCTTTAAAATGGCTGGGGAAGATGAAGGATACCAATAGTCGAATAACCCGCTGGTACCTTGCCATGCAGCCCTACAAGTTTGAGGTGCAACACATCCCTGGCAGACAAAATATTACAGCTGACTACTTGTCCCGCTGCGCCAGCGAACCTTCAGAGGAGGGGGAGTGTGTGGTGGATGCTCCTACCACCACCACATTGTGTTAGTATTTATTTTTTCTTTATATTAGTTACAGCTTATAGTCTGTTTAAGTTGGTCATTTCATTTAGTTAATGTCTGTCTGAATGGTCTACTTACACTTGTTTTTTGTTTGAGGTGCTGCTGATATAAACCAGCTGGAGGAGGAAACTTGGAGCAAACCATTTTCTGAAAGACTGAAGGGGGAGACTTGTTTCAAGTTGATCTCAATAGTTAATTTTGTCACTTAAATATTCACTTACTGTTTGTGCTAAGTTAAAGTTAGTTTTGCTTTATTTGTTTCATAGGATGCTTTAGTTAATTTTGTATTTATTTGTTCTTTGTCATGTTGTACCTCCCTCATGTGGTAGACTTAGGTTACTCCACCTCTATTTAAGCAGCCTTTTGTTTGTTTGAAGGAGAGGGCTTTTTTGTGTTCAGTTAGAGTTCAGTTGATCTCAGTCAGTTTGGATCCAAATTTGTTACTTACCTTTTGATTTATTCTTGCCTAAGTTTTTAGGCTTTGTTAACTATTTTTGGAAGAATTAAAACTGAAACCTTTTTTTCTACTTTGAACACTTTTTTGTCCTCATTGGAGTCTGGTCCCTCACAGTTGGTGTCAGAAGTGTCTCCTTCGTTTTCCGAGAAGAAAAGTTTCCAAAATGCCTGGAAGGGGAAGAGGACGAACAAGAGGAGAACCCAGTGCTGAGCTTAATGAAGGAGAGGCTGCGGAGGAACATGGAGCTGTTGGTGGAGTGTTTGACACGGATGAGGAGGGGAATGAACCAACACTAGCAGACTTGGCTAACCTTCTCCGAGCCCATATAGGACATCAGAAGGCCAAAGAGGACCACTGGACCAGCAAAAATCCTAAGCAACAACAGAAATTTGAGGAACTACAACAACAGTTCAGATTGTTTAAAAGGGAGAGCCAACCCCAGACCACGCCCTCTGCTCTTCTGACAACATCACCAGTGCGGCCTACACAACCACCAGATCCTGGAGTGGCAGCCTCACCTCAACACAATCAGGTGACCTTTATGCACAGTCATCTGTTTCTTATGCACCTAAATTGCAAAAATTGAGTGAAGAAGATGACATTGAACATTTTCTCATTACTTTTGAAAGAATAGCTTCTGGCCAAGAACTGACTGGGCTTTTCATTTAATACCTCTGCTAACAGGCAAAGCTAGAAGTGCCTTTGTGCACATGGATGTTGATTTGTCTATGAACTATGATCAAGTTAAACTAGCTGTTTTGCAGAAGTATGACATTAACAGTGAAACCTACAGGCAAAGATTCTGCTCGCTTCAGGTGGAGCTAGAAGAAACTCCAAAAGAGATCTACATAAGGCTGAAGGAGCTGTATGTCAAATGGGTGCAACCTAACGGTAAAACGGTCGAACAAATCAATGAAATTATTATTCTTGAACAGTATCTAAGAATGTTGTCACCAGAACTTCAGGTGTGGATAAAATAACACAATCCAAAGACTGCAAAGGAGGCTGCTGAACTGGCTGTGTTTGTGGCTGCAAGGAGGACGAACTCTTGGGCTTTTCAAAGCTGGAAATGGATGGCCGCCATCAATCTCCAGCCCAACCAGTTTTGGCTGTGGGTAAGCTACCTGTAAAAGAGATTTGGTTCAAAATTTCAAGGGGAAAAAGCCCATTTGTTATGTGGACAGGAGGGTCATACTAAACCAATGTACCCTCAAACTGTTTTGAAGTTGGGCCATTCAATCCCTGGGCTGGCCACCTGGGGAAGCATAAGACCTTAGCCCGCATAAAGCGCTGTTTCTTTTGGCCTGGCTTGCGTAAAGATGTTGTGCAGTTTTGCAGGAGATGTCCAGAATGCCAAATGACATCAGCTAGACTCTCAAAGCTCCTCTCCAACCTCTTCCAGTTCTGAGTACACCATTTCAACGCTTGGGTATGGACATAGTGGGCCCGGTTGAAAAGAGTAAAGCAGGTAACCGGTTTATGCTGGTGATTGTGGATTACACAACTAAAAATCCGGAAGTTCTATGTCGTATAAGCTTCGCCCTTTAAGGCTTTCGCTTTAGTGGGTTTATCCCGTTATGCGCAGCATAAGCACTGAAACAAATTTAGTCCACGCCCACCTGCTGTGTGGGCCCCACCCGGTCCGTATAAATTACGTTAAGAGTGGGAAATCGGCTCCCATTTTTTCTTCAGCGAGCTAATATAGCACTGTCAGAAGAACAAAGAAGGAAAATTGTGTAGATGACCAACCTTTGTTAAGGATGCTTGGCCCGGCAGTCGACCTCCGGTCGTCCGGTGAGTTCTCCTCCCCGAGGAGAAGATGACGAGTAGTCCTATTCAAGGTAAGCGCAGAGGAATATTTCTCAATGACAGGTCACTACACGCTGGACAACGCCATCTTGTATTTTTTCCTCTTATCGCCGACCCTCGGAGCGAATCGGATGGTTCCTCCGGGATAGGCGTGCTCAGCTGCAGCCCCCGCTGCCTTTTCCCTCCTGGGGAGCGTAGTGGGGGTGGAGGGGGCTGAGTGAATGCTCACCCCATCCCACCTCGTTTTTCGCATCGGCGATCACACCGCTCCCGTCCGATGGCGCCCCAGGGGTTGCCCGGCGTAACCCAGGAGGAGGCTGACATGAAAGGACCCCTTTTTTACGTCCTACGCCTTTCCCGCCAGTTCGGATGATCCGGCAGGAAGGTTATTTTCTGGGCTCCATTCCGGCTCCCCGTCTTGACCCATATGGCCTCGCGCTCCCAACAGGACCTCCTACGGGCGAGGCCACAGACGGGTTTTTCCTGGTAGATTGGGAGAGTCGGTCCCCAGTCCGCACCCATCACCAGAGTGGAAGGGTTCACCGGGTGGGACTACCCCTCGGTAACCCCCCTGGAGCCGAGCCTCGTTGAAGCTTCGGAGCTAAGCTGTCCAGGTCGGAGCAGCGTCCCATCCCTCCGGAGAAACACGAACCAGACGTTTACTGCGCTCTCCAATCGAGCCCATCAATGTGCTTTCAGGCAGCCGCAGCTAGCAACAACGTGGCGCTGCTAGCATATAGCCTGTCCAAAGGGGCTGAAGGTCACAGACCTGCCTTGGAGACAAAGAACTCCCTCTGTAAGGCAGCAGATGTTATCTTCAACATGTGTGCCTCTTCTACGGTTTGCCTGTCGACGATTGCAGCATGGATGACGATGATCCAACGATCCACTTGGTTTCATTACTCTCCCTCGCTGCCGGAGAAACTGCACAAAGACCTGATGGAGGGCCCATCACGGCGGACGCGCTGTTCCGAGAGCAGCTTCAGTTCCATGCTAGCGAGTTGAAGCAGTCGGAGGAGGTGCCAGAGGCTGTGCGCCACCTCATCAAGCTGCGCGGCTCATCCCGCCCCCCGGCCCACTGGAGGGACTGTCGCTAGCAAGCACCGACGTTTCCACGGCCGCGGCTCTCGCTCAGTTCCACCACCAGCCCCGCCCGTCAGAATCCAGCCCTCTTCATTCCGGCAACCTGCAGTTCGGCGTTTTCCCCAGAGTTCGCCTGCAAGACAGCGCTCTGGGCAAACAAATCTCAGAGCTCAAGAGGGAGAAGTTTTGAAAATGACGGTCTCCGGAGGGTGTGCGTAAAAGTGACACGAAAGTTGAAATAAATCATCATTCAATGATCAAAGTGTTTGTTTTTTAGCCAGTCTGTAAGCTCGGATGAACTCACAGCGGCTGCGCACACATCTTTCACACATAACGAGCCGGTGTCCTTAAATAAGGGTTTTTTAAACTCACCGTCGCTCCAAGACATGACGAGTCGATCACACGACACAATGGTAAGCGAAAATAACTCGTTATCATCCAGAGCAGCACGATCCTCACCCAAGCGGTGTCAAACTCGCACTCGTGGGATGAAACCGCCTCCATCCAACGGCGCTGTGTTGATGTGGCTCACACACACACACACAGCTGCCCGGTGCTCTCCGGCTCACATCAGTATAAATGTGGACCGCAGGCTGGGTGAGGTGGAGGTCTTCGCTCTCACAAGAGCGGCACTCACCCCACCGAATCAAACGCGGGCAGCCGTCACCCACCGCGTCTCAGCATAAGCGTGAGGCAGCTGAACGAACCCTGATGACGAGCTCCGCCTCCTTCCAGCGAGAGCGGCGCGCGTCCCTCCAGAGAAAACGTGTACTCCCGCGGGGCTCGCAGCCTTCACTCCAACAGCACGGCGTAGATGAAGTCACGCCCTCCGCCTCTCAACGTTCGCACAGCGACGTCAATCGCGCAGCCCCACAGCGTCATCAGCTGTCACATGCTTTGCCTCAGCACACACCGGCCCACCGTACATGAAGGTTGGTCTGCGGCCCGAACGCAGCGCACGAGCGCGTTCAGAGCCTTTTTTCGAGGAAGCCTCGCCTTGGGTCACGCAGAAAACATTCCCGCGATGCATGACAGCGGTCTCGAGGGGTGGACTGCTGACGGCCGTACAACGTGATGCATACCTTAAACGCACGTTCACTCCACGAACATTACGTAGAGGGGCTAAAACATGCTCGCCGGTCAGATGGATGGACAGGGCGTTATGCAAATAGTTACAAGTTACAGTTTGCAACCCGACCCCCTCCGTTCGGAGGAGTTAGAGAAACGGTCCTGTCATCATCAGACCAAATCTCATCCCTAAATGCAAAAGTCCAAGTGTTTCTGATAAAAGTAATCTCCAGAGTTCCCCAACAGAGAGAAAACACGGTTTTACTCACGTTACTTCCCGGTTTCCAACGGACCGGAGGAATGAGACCGATCGTGGATCTGTCAGTTTTTTTTCAACAAGATGATCATTGACAGACCGTTTTTTCACATGTTGACAACCAGACAGCTGTTGTACAACATCCAGAGAAACGCATACCGATCATCTCAAAACACAGAAAATTCCTGCATTTTTTCTCCTTTCAGGGGATGAAGTATCTGTTACACAGAGCAGGGATGAGAGTTTTTGTTTTACCTGGATGATCTGCTGCTCCTGTCACTCCAGACAGGAGGCGCTGATGCAGGCTCAGGTGTGGACATCACACCTGTCAAATCTGGTTTTCGCCATAAATTGGAAGAAAAGCTCGATTTTTTTTCTCGGCCCAGACAATTGTTTATCTGGGAGTAGAATTAAATTCAACCACCATGAAGGCTCGTTTATCACAAACGAGGTTCGACACTTTTAAAAGTCAACTTCGCCATGTAGACCTGGCAAAGTGGGAACAGCTATTTCAGTCTTGAAGCTGTTAGGAATGATGTCATCAGCTCACACAGCGGTTCCGCTGGGTTTGTTACACATGAGACGCCTCCAGAGGTGGTTTGTGTGTCTGCGTGTGGATCCAGTAAAACAAAAGAGACAGACGATCACTGCCCCTCCCTCCGAGAGAGCAGACCTCCGACACTGGGGAAACACCCTGGTTCTGTCAGAGGGAGTTCCCGTCAGCAGACCCACGTCACACGTGTCAGTCTTCACGGACGCGTCGCTGTCAGGCTGGGGGGGGACATACCTATCTCAAGCAGTAGGGGCGCTGTGGCCCCACCACACATCAGCCCAAATAAATGTCTTTGGAGTGTCGCACAGTGCTGAATGTGATTCAACACTTTGCTCCCGTGCTACAGAATCAACAGGTGTTGATTTACTCAGACAACATGATGACTGCTGCATACATAACCATCAGTTTACATACCCAGTGTTCTGAACAGAGGGGCAGATGTGATGTCCAGGGGCGGCCCACGTCACGGGGATGGGACTCTCCAGCCAGACCTGACGGTTCAGACGTGGCAGAAGTTTGGCAAAGCAGCTGTGGACCTGTTTTGCGACACGAGAAGAACGCTCAGTGTCATTTATGGTTTTCCCCTGAGCCCGCGAGACGATCCACCGCTGGGGGTGGATGCATTTGCTCACAGCCCATGGCCCAAAACGCTCTTGTACGCGTTTTTCCCCACTTCCTCTGATTTTATGGTTCCTGAACCGAGTTCAGGAGGAGGGATTGACAGCTCTTCTGGTGGCTCCCGAGCGCGTGAACGCACCATGGTTCCCAGTCATGCAACATCTGTTGTCGGGTCGTCCGTGGAAACTGCCGTAGAGGGAGGTCACTCTCCTTCAAGCAGGAGGAGCGATCAGGAGTTACTCAGAAATAGGCCAGCACCTGTGGGTCTGGCCGCTGAGCTGTCCCGCTTAGAGAGGATGGGTCTCCCGCAGGAGGTAGTGCGCACAATCCAAGATTCACGTGCTGCATCTACCACAGCTCTGTACACATCAAAGTGGACGGCTTTTCAGCGCTGGTGTACAGAGAAAGGTGTAAAGGCCACCTCATGCCCATTAGGCGGCGTGTTGTTTTTTTCTACAACAGCTGATGGATAGGAAGTTGGCATTCAGCACGATTAAAACATACGCTGCAGCCATCTCTTCCTGCCACGAAGGTTTCGGAGACAGAACGGCTTTTAATCACCCGCTGATGGAGCGGTTTCTAAAAGGTGTACAAAGACGTAGGCCTGTTTCACGCCCACTTGTTCCACAGTGGGATTTAACGCTGGTCCTGCGAGCCCTGATCAAGCTCCATTTGAGCCTCTGGATCAGTTTTTCACTTAAATTCTTGTCTCTTTAAACAGCCCTGCTGCTGGTTTTAACATCCGCTAAGAGGATGAGTGATTTATCTGCCTTCTCTGCCGCTCCGTCATGTCTCAGAATTCAGGCTGACGGTAGTTCAGCTGATTTAAGACCAAACCCAGCTTTTATGCCTAAAA